AAAAAAAAATCAAAAATTATATATATATTACCATATATACAATATATACAGTTTATCTCTTAGTGATAGGACTAAAGATGATAATTTTTTATTACTTTTATACCACAGCGTTTTTCAAATTTTTCACCACATACATTTTTTGGTCTAAGATAAAATTTTTTTTTAAAAAGTTGGTGATTATTTAAGTAGGCCTAATTTCAAGGCTAAAAGGTTTTCAACAGAAACAACTTTGAAAAATTATGACAGAATTATCATTAAACAGTATTTCCCAGTATGAATTTTAAAATTCTCTCTAAAATCAGTATTTTATGAATACAAAGCAGAAATTCACCTCAATCTTAACTGCCTTCAAGAAAGGGCAAAGCTTTTCTAAAGTTTTACTAATTTTTTTAACTATGATACTGACATATAGTTTTTCATCCTCTTGATGCTACTGTTTCCTGCTTTTGAGAATTCTCATATAAAATTCACCAATATGTTATAATTATTCATAATTATAAAATTTTATCCAGTTTTTGGGTTAAGGTCTATAAAATTAAACTAATGCTAGTAATGGTTTAAAGTTTTTACATGAAGAATTCAACATACTCATTAAATACTTTTTAAACCCTACTATGGATAAAATTATCTTCTTTAGTTTACTATGCAAAGTTTCCCATCAAAACTACAGGTCAGACAGGTGTTATTTTAATCTTTCAATACTGTTTAAAACTTTAAAAGAAACTACCCTAACTCATTAGTTATGCTAAATATCTGCAATAATGTTTCAGTGGCTTTTTAAGTATTTCTTTGATAGTATCCTAAGAAGAAAACTTTATAAATATTGCAAATTTGTTACATGCTAGATGTTCTGCCAGAAAAAAGTGATAACAATGTTTAAATGAATATGGCTCTTTTCTTAATACAATTTAATGACCTTGTTTACTTCCTGTTTTGTTTTTTTTGTTTTTTTTTTTTCCTTAAATAAAACTCTTCAAACTACCAGGGAATTTGCTGAAAATTATATTTTCTCAAATGAAACATATCCTGATAAGAAGTAATTTAATCCATTAATTGAATATATAATTACACATTAAACCTCTATCACCCACAATGACTTATTGATTAACAAATCAAGAAGAATTACTCATTATTAAATGTTTTAATACACTGTGTTCCATCTTCTACTTAACAAAGTTTCATTCAGCAAAGTTGTTCCACATGACATACAGTCAACTATCTCTCAGGTGACTTTCATTCAATTTATAAACTTATTTATGAACTACATAAGCTGACAGAATACTAATAAAAAGACATATAAAGCTGTTTTAACAAAATGAAGGCAGTATTTTGAAATCTCCACCAGATACGTCAGAAACTCTTCAGAAATATCAACTTATAAATCACTAAGATGAATCTAAACTTTTATTCAATTCTTGGTCTTAAATTTTTATTTATTTATTTGTTTTTAGAGATGGGGTCTCCCTGTCACCCCAGCTGGAGTACAGTGGCGTGACAGTAACTCACATAGTCTTGGTCTTGGGCTCAAGTGATCCTCCCATCTCAGCCTTCCAAGTAGCTGAGACTACAGGTATGTGCCAACACACCCAGCTAATTTTTTTTGGGTAGGGGTAAAGATGGGGTCTCCCTTTTTGCCTAAGCTGATCTCCAACTCCTAGCTTGAAGCAATCATCCTGCCTCAGCCTCCCAAAGTGCTAGTTTTATAGGCATCAGTCACCATACCTGGCCATTGTTTTGTTACTGTTTTTTGTTTTTAACAAACAAATAAAAATGCTTAATGAAACAGGAATAGATCTTACCAATGCAGGCCACTGAATCTGTTTGCTCTTTGATCCCTGAGTCTGGCTAGGGTCATTCCTTTTGGCCCAGATTAAGTGGTATTCCACCAAGAAAGTTGAAAAATCTTCATAAACTTTAACCCACTCTCGTTTATCCCATTCAAGATCATCAAATTCCACATACACCTACGAAAACAAAAACACAAAATTCAATAAGCAAAATAAAAGAGTGGTGTATCTTTTTTCACTGACATATAATAATTGTACATATTTATGGGGTACATATGGTATCTTGATACATGCACACGATGTGTAATGATCAAATCAGGGTAATTAGAATATCCACCATCTCAAATATTTATTTTTTATTTGTGATAGAAACATTTCAAATCCTCTCTTCTAGCTGTTTTGAAAAATACAATAAATTACTGATAACTATAGTTACCATACTGTGCTATCAAACACTAACACTCCTTCTAATTGTAGAAAGCAGAAAAGGGAACTCTAGTACACTGTTGGTGGGAATGTAACTTAGTACATCCAATATGGAAAACAGTATAGAAGTTCCTCAAAAAACTAAAAGTAGATCTACCATAAGATCTGGTAATCCCACTGCTGGGTAAATAACCACAAGAAAGGAACATATATTGAAGAGATAGCTGCACATCATTGTTTATTGCAACACTATTCCCAATAACCAGGATATGGAATTGACCTAAGTATCTATCAACATAGGAATGGACAAAGAAAATGTGGTATATATATATATACAATAGAATACAATTAGGCCATAAAAAAGAATGAAATATTGTCATCTGCAGCAGTATGAATGAAACTGGAGGTAATTATGTTATATGAAATAAGCAAGGTACAGAAAGACAGACATCACATGTTCACACTCATATGTAAGAGCCAAAAATTTGGATCTTGGCCCAGAATGGTGGCTCATGTCTGTAATCCCAGCACTTTGAGAGGCAAGAGATGGGAGGATCACCTGAGCCCAGGACTTCAAGACCAGCCTTGACAACATAGTGAGATCCTGACTCTAACAAAAGAGAAAAGTAAAAAACTTAGCTGGACATAATGGCACATGCCTGTAGTCACAGCTACTCAGGAAGCTGAAACAGGAAGATCACTTGACCCCAGGAATTTGAGGCTTCAGTGAGCTATGATTGCTACAGTGTGCGATGATCGTGCCACTGTACTACAGCCCAGGTGACAGAGTGAGATCTTGTCTACTTAAAAAACAAACAAAAAGTGGATCTCATGGAGATAGAGGGTAGAACGATGATTATCAGAGGCTAGGATGGGTGAAGGGGGCAGATGAAAAGAGGTTGGTTAATGAGTATAACATTTCAAAATATAAGCTATGAACTTGAATTAGAAAGAACATTACTTCCTGTTTATTTTTCTTAAATAAAACTCTTCAAATAACCAGAGAATTAATTAACAAATTAATTATTTAACTTAACTTTTTCATAAAACCATCATTTAACTTTCCTTAATCAGATTATGTCCCTTACTTATGACAGGGAGATAAACCATAACTATATTGAGAAAGGCAATTTACAGAGTGTTGATTAGTAAAGACTGGTTCATTATCTTCTAAATGTACACTAATAATGATGTTTATATTGATGATTCTAGAAGCAGGGGTTAGAAAATGTCTTTAAAGAGTAAACAGTATTTCAGATTTTGCAAACCAGATGGCTTCTATCATAATTACTTCTGTCTCTGCCACAGACAGACAACCATAGACAATATGTAAACAATTAAGCTTGACTTTATTCTAATAAAACATTACTTTCAAAGGTAGCCAATGGTATAAACATGGCTCAATATATGAAATTCAATTAATATAATATACCACACATTAACAGAATAAAGAAAAAAAATCATCTTTAATGATGCAGAAAAAGCATCTGGCCAAATTCCACAGCTTTTCATGATTAAAAACACCCAACAAACTAGGAACAGAAGGAAAATATCTAAATATAAAAAGGTCAATATGAAAAACCCACTGCTAACATCATACACAACAGTAAAAAATCAAACGCATTTCCTCTAAGATGGGAACAAGACAAGCATGTCATAATTTGGAAAACTGAAACCGACTCTTACAGGTCATTCAATCATTCGACCTTTTCCTCCACCCCTACTTTCATTCTTTTGCATTCATTCCCCAGATTAGCTTTTCATAGAATTGTCTTTCCAACTTATTAGTTACGTTCGAAGCAGTCTTCTCATTGCTTATATTTTTATCCTCATTCTGCCATCTTATAGCTGAAGACTTTCCATCTTCTGCTCTCTTATAGCTGAAGGCTTTCCGTTTCCACTTACTTGAATCATGGTTGCTCTTATGGCCCAGCTCAAGTTCTTCAATGATGTTTATATCCCCCTACTTCAACTCCAACTTAGCTTTGAACTTCTACTTCAATTATTTGTCATAGCTTACACTGTATTAGTATATAAGCAAATAGCATCTTCTCTGTCTATATATATGTACCTATATACACACATACATATACATATATATATGTATATATATATATATATATTTTTTTTTTTTTTTAATTTTTAAGATGGAGTCTAGCTCTGTTACCCAGGCTGAAGTACAGTGGCGCTATCCTGGCTCACTGCAACCTCCAGCTCCCAGGGTCAAGCAATTCTCCTGACTCCGCCTCCCAAGTAGCTGGGATTACAGGTGCCTGACACCACATCCAGCTACTTTTTGTATTTTTAGTAGAGATGGGGTTTCACCATGTTGTCCAGACTGGTCTCCAACTCCTGATCTTGTGATCCACCCGCCTTGGCCTCCGAAAGTGCTGGGATTATAAGCATGAGCCACCTCACCTGGCCTACCATCCTATATTTTTAAGTATAATCAAAATATCTTTAAATTATGCATGTAAACTCACTTAAGGTAGAGCTGTGCTTTCATTTATTTTTAGTGCGCAGTACAGAACTGCATACATATAAAGTTTTCAATTAACATTAAAAATCCCCCTACTCTTGGACTCAATCATGGTCTTTTAAAAATGGAAGCAGGCCGGGCACAGTGGCTCAGGCCTGTAATCCCAGCGCTTTGGGAAGCTGAGGCAGGTGGATCGCCTTAGGTCAGGAGTTCGAGACCAGCCTGGCCAACATAGTGAAACCCCGTCTCTACTAAAAATACAAAAAACTGGCTGGGTGTGGTGGCAAGCGCCTATAGTCCCAGGTACGCAGGAGTCTGAGGCAGCAGAATTGCTTGAACCCCAGAGGGTGGAGATCATGCCACTGCACTCCAGCCTGGGCAACAGGAGTGAAACTCCGTCTCAAAAAAAANAAAAAAAAAAAAAAAAGAAAAAAAACAACAAAAAAAGGAAGCAACCTGGTAAAACGTAAGTCTGACTGGTGGTGTTTGTTCTGATGCACACTAAGAAGCTTGCTTCAAAAACAACAACAAAAAAGACTTATCTATTAGAATATCCACTAAAGATATCCATTAAAGCTGATGTATTAGAATGGGGAAAGAGAAACATGCCCTGGTCAAGGAGTTGACATCTGTCTCTAGTTAGCTATCCATACCAAGTCAGTGAAGAAATCCAAGTCAAGGAAGAAGCCAACAAAACAGTTCCCTTTTTCTAATAAAACTCATCCTTAAGGGGTTGAGCTGAGGTCCAGCTGATATTATGCAAAAGTTTCAAACTATACCAATTTCTCCAGTACTTGAAATCTGTTCTCTCATTTACATACTAAATTTTGGTATAAGAGCTCCGGTAAACCCTAGAAAACTGCAACAGAGACAGTTCTCAGGAAAACCTGCACACTAATTTTGCTTTTCCTTCACGGACAATGATATGGTAATGCTGAGAAAATATTTTAGTTAAAAACCTTAAGAGCCGAGCTGTGTCTGGCTCCCGATCTCACAGCCATTGCAGTACATTGAGCTCCATAGAGACAGCACCGAGGCAAGTGAGAGCTGGATGGGCACTGGGCGACTCTGTGCCTCGCTGAGGAAAAATAACTAAACATGGGCAAAGGAGATCCTAAGAAACTGAGAGGCAAAATGTCATCATATCCATTTTTTGTGCAAACTTGTCGGGACGAGCATAAGAAGCACTACCCAGATGCTTCAGTCAACTTCTCAGAGTTTTCTAAGAAGTGCTCAGAGAGGTGGAAGACCATGTCTGCTGAAGGGAAAGGAAAACCTATATTCCTTCTAAAGGGGAGACAAAAAAGAAGTTCAAGGATCCCAATGCAACCAAGAGGCCTTCTTTGGCCTTTTTCCTGTTCTGCTCTGAGTATTGTCAAAAAATCAAAGGAGGAAATCCTGGCCTGTCCATTGGTAATGTTGCGAAGAAACTGGGAGAGATGTGGAATAACAATGCTGCAGATGACAAGCAGCCTTATGAAAAGAAGGCTGCGAAGCTGAAGGAAAAATACAAAAAGGATATTGCTGCATATCGAGCTAAAGGAAAGCCTGACGCAGCAAAAAATGGAGTTGTCAAGGCTGAAAAAAGCAAGAAAAAGAAGGAAGAGGAGGAAGATAAGGAAGATGAAGAGGATGAAGAGGAAGATGATGCTGATGAATAAGTTGGTTCTGGCGAAGTTTATTTTTCTTGTCTATAAAGCATTTAACCTCTCTGTACACAACTTACTCCTTTTAAATAAAAAAACTGAAATGTAAGGCTGTTTAAAATTTGTTTTTAAACTGTGTCTTTTTTTTTGTATAGTTAACAGACTACCAAATGTGTCTTTAGATAGCCCTATCCTGGTGGTATTTTCAATAGCCACTAACCTTGCCTGGTACAGTATGGGGGTTGTAAATTGGCATGGAAATTTAAAGCAGGTTCTTGTTGGTGAACAGCACAAATTAGTTACATATGGGGATGGTAACTTTTTCATCTTCAGTTGTCTCTGATGCAGCCTATATGAAATAATTGTTCTATTAACTGAATACTACTCTGTAATTGCAAAAAAAAAAAAAAATTGCAGCTGTTTTGTTGACATTCTGAATGCCTTCTAAGTAAATACAAGTTTTTCTATTTGAAAAAAAAAAAAAAACAACCTAAAGAACCAAGAGGTTTGTTGACACTTTCCTAAAGATATAAATCAATGTACATTTTTCCAAACACAAAGCACTAAAGTTTTCAGCATGAAGCGAGCTTTCCAAATCCACTTTATATTGCATAAACAGTGCTACTAGCAGTTTTCAGAACTTGTTAGAAACACTGGGGACAAAAAAGACACTTTTTTTTTTTTGTCCCCAATGTTTCTAACAAGTTCTGCTTCTTCCCCTTTGCTGTATAGCCAACTCATCTTCAGATATGAGATTATCAAGAACAGTGAAGGGTTTGGAATTATATACAGACAACTAAACACACACACACACACACATATCACATACACGTTACTGTTTCACAGATTCTGGCAGAAAACGTTAAGACTCCTGGCACTTCATAAGTTAGAGCAAAACCAACAATCAGAGTATCATCATGATGCTTGTGCCAGCTTCTCATGACTGTTAAGTCCCATGGGAAGGATGCAAAGGGCCAGAATGGAAACCTGAGCACATAATAAGTTATCTTACAGAAGAGAAGGGAGTGGAACTCACCACTTAGATAGTAAATGCAAGAGAGTCTGCTCTTTGTTTAGGGGAGGTTATTACTTAATCCCTCACAGCTGGCTGCTCACTACACACACAACTTTGAGAAATGATCCAGGCTAAGAGCAGTTAGAGTCTTGTATTCTAACACATCCAGCAAGAAAGTGCAGAGATACACAGTGCCCATAGTGGACTGCCTATACCAACACAGATAAAATTTTTTATCAGGCTGGACTGAATAAGAAACTAACTTACCCTTACTGTGTATGAGTGTTTATGTGGGGTGAGGAATGGTGGGGAGTAGTTTCTTTCCATTAGTTTACAAACTGCCAGTTCATGCATTTTTAGTTAATTATACAGTAACTTAATATTAACTCCTTTCTCATTCCCCTATGTTGGGTCCTTCTGTCTGCTTAATTTCATCTTACTAACTAGACCAAAGGGTCCTTGAGGGCAAGAATCAGTACGCTTTCTCTGGTGGCTCACACCTGTAATCCCAGCACTTTGGGAGGCCAAGGTGGGCGGATCACTTGAGGTCAGGAGTTCGAGACCAGACTGGGCAACATGGTGAAACCCTGTCGCTACTAAAAATACAAAAAACATTAGCTGGGTGTGGTGGCACATGCCTGTAATCCCAGCTACTCAGGTGGCTTATCCAGGGAGGTCAGAACCTTCAAGGCTGAACCTGGTAGGCGGAGGTTGCAGTGAGCCGAGATCACAGCACTGCACTCCAGCCTAGGTGACAGAGTGAAGATCTGTCTCAAAAAAAAAAAAAAAGGAATTAGTATGCCCTTAAATTTTTTGCATCTCTAGAATGGCAGTTGTTGCAGCAAACTAAAGCTCCTGATACAGTTTCAGATAATCAGCACTGAGCAAAACACATCTCAAGTACAATTAAATGACTAACTTGCAAAACCCAAAAATTTTATTTATTTATTTATTTTTTAGAGACAGGGTCTTGCTATGTTGCCCAGGCTGGAGTGCAGTGGACATTCACAGGCGCGATCCCACTACTGATCAGCATGGGAGTTTTGACTTGCTTCATTTACAACCTGGGCTGGTTCACCCCTCCTTAGGCAACCTGGTGGTCCCCCGCTCCCGGGAGGTCACCATATTGATGCCGAACTTAGTGCAGAAACCCGATTGGCATAGCGCACTACAGCCCAGAAATCCTGGGCTCAAGCGATCCTCCCACCTCAGCCTCACGAGTAGCTGGGACTACAGGCACACGCCACCGCGTCCGGCAAAAACCAAAGATTTTAAATACAGCAGATGTATCCAGCAATAAATCACTGTGCTCATAATTATCTAGAAAAAAAGTAACATTTCATTCGGTAAATATTTCTAACAGAACATTGGAGCCAATCACTATGAAAACTGGGAGTTTAGGGAACAATGATCATTCACATATACACGTGTGTGTGTGTGTGTGTGTGTGTGTGTGTGTGTGTGTGTGTGTGTGAAGTTAACAGCCATGGGTAGTGATTATTATTATAACAATTAAGATGATGTGAGAAAAAGGTCAAGCAAAATAATCCACTAAAAACAATTACTTCAAAAGAAAAACAAAAATAACTATTTTATAGTGGACAAGTGGGTAAATACTTAGCCAAATATTTAAGAATCATTTTTCCCCCCAAGATAGAGTCTTGCTCTGTCACCCAGGCTGGAGTGCAGTAGCACAATCCTGACTCACTGCAACCTCCGCCACCTGGATTCAAGCCATTCTCCTGCCTCGGCCTCCCATCTCTAGGTAGTATACATGTTTTCTACAACAGATGTCAACATGCTGGCAGTTTTGTCTAAGTATAATACTAAGCATTAAAAGAAGAGCTATCAGCTGGATATAGTGGCTCACGCCTATAATTCCAGCACTTTGGGAGGCCAAAGAGGGAGAACTGCTTGAGCCCAGTAGTCCAAAACCAGTCTGGGTGACAGAGCGAGACCCTATCTCAAAAACAAACAAACAAAAAAAGAGCTATCAGACTGTCAGAGGAACCATTTGCAAGAAGAAAAATCAACAGTCATGCAATTCCATTTCTACTATTTTACAAATTTAAATTAATCTAACCCTTGAACTCTTTTTTTTTGAGACAGAGTCTCGTTCTGTCGCCAGGTACCAGGCTGGTTGCAGTGGTGTGATCTCGGCTCGCTGCAACCTCTGCCTCCCGGGGTTAAGCAATTCTCCTGCCTCAGCCTCCCGAGTAGCTGGGACTACAGACGCGTGCCACCATGCCCAGCTAATTTTTGTATTTTTTTTTTCTTTCTTTTTTTTTTTAGTAGAGACGGGATTTCACTATGTTGGCCAGGATGGTCTCAATCTCTTGACCTCGTGATCTGCCCGCCTCGGCCTCCCAAAGTGCTGGGATTACAGGCGTGAACCAACATGCCTGGCCACCCTTGAACTCTTTAAGCATTATTAGTTACTAGAAGAATGTTTCCTTTTCTTGCACGTAGCTGATTGCTTCAAAGTGGAAAATGTATTCTGGTTACTTGGAGACCTATATTATTAAAATTATATATATCAATGTAAGAATATTAGAACTAAGAATTATTTTAGTCTAAATTATAATTCCAGCTGACACTTTTTAATTTTAGAACTTCTAAGTAATCCACAATCTTTATATGCAATGTTACATTTGTAGGAAAAATATGTTTTTTCACATGTTTACTTGGATATATACAGTAAAAATATCAGCTATATAAAAGTTTGAAGAAGATGTTTCAGATTAGCATTAGGCAATACTCTACAAGCAAACCTCAGAGGTATTGCAAGTTTGGTTTCAGACTGCTGCAATATAGCAAATGAATATCAAAATAAAGTGAATCACATTAGTTTTTTGGTTTTCCAATGAGATCAATGTGAAAGAAACCAAATATTATAATAAAGCAAGTCACATAAATTTGTTGATTTCCCACTGCATACAAAATTATATTTTCAATGTATTAAATGTATAATGGCATAATGACTAAATAACAATTTAGATGACTGAGGTACCTCCTGCCTGTAATCCCCATCCCGACTTTGGAAGGCTGAGGCTGGAGGATCACTTAAACTCAGGAGTTCAAGACCAGCTCAGGCAACACAGTAAGACCTCGTCTTTACAAAAATGAAAAGATTACCCAGCCATGGTGGCATGTGTCTATGGTCCCAGATACTCAGGAGGCTGAAATGGGAGGGTGGTTTCAGCCAGGGAGGTTGAGGCTGCAGTGAGCCATGATCACGCCACTGAACTCCAGCCTAGGTGACAGAGCGAAACCCAGTGTCAAAATATAAAAATAAAAAACAATTTACACACCTGAACTTTTATGTTTTTGTGCTAAAAAATGGTAACAATCATCTGGACCTTCAGTGAGTCCTTGTATTTTTTTGCCAATAAAGAGTACTGACTCAGTGTTTTTGGCTGCTGACTGCTCGGGGTGGTTGTAGCTGAAGGAGGGGTATTTGTGACAATTTCTTAAAATAAGACAATAAAGTTCCCCACATCTACTAATTCTTCCCTTCATGAAACATTTCCCTAGGGCATGCAATACTGTTGGCCATTTTACTCACAGCTGAACCTCGTTTGAAACTGGAGTCAATCTCTCACAAGGTGAGGCTCCATTATCACCAAAGGTTATGTAGTATTCAGTTCTATCTCAAAAAACTATGTTCTTTGAGCATCCGTAAGAAACAATGCTTCATTCACTCAAGTTCAATCATGAGATTACAGCAATTCAGTCACATCTTCAGGCTCTAGTTTTAATTTGAAATCTCTTGATATATCTACCACATCTGCAGTGACTTCCCCCATGAAAGTCTTTAACACCTGGATGTTGATACTTTGACCTCCTCCCATAAATCATGAATATTCTTAATGGCAAATGAATATCAAATGGCATCTAGAATAATGAATCCTTTCCAAAAGGTTTTCAATTTACTTTGTCCATATCCATCGGAGGAATCAAGACCTCTGGCAGATAAAGCTTTACAAAATGTATTTCTTAAATAATAAGCTTGAAAATCAAAATTATTCCTTAATCCATGGGCTGCAGAAAATAACTTGTACTTGCAGGCGTGAAAACATTAATCTCTGTCAGAGCTTTTGGGCAAACAGAGGTACTGTCAATGAGCAGTAATACTTTGAAAGGAATATTTTTCTTTGAATAGTGTATTTTAACAGTGGGCTTAAAATATTTAGAAAAACCTGCTATAAACAGATGTGTTCTCATCCAGGCTTTGCTGTTCCATTTACAGAGCACCTGCAGAGTAGATTTAAAATAATTCTTAAGGGCCCTAGGATTTCTGGAATGGTCAATAAGCACTGACTTTAACAAAAAGTCACCCATTATTTTAGCCCCTAACAAGAGAGTCAGCCTGTGTATTAAGATTTCTCCGTATCAACAATAACAATGTTTCATTTTCTTATCCCTGTGGAGTAGCACTTTTAATTTCCTTCAAAA